CAAGCCTGGGGCTGCAACGGTGTCCGGGCGTTAAACTCCTTCGGGCTCACTTCACAGGAGAATCATATTTGCAAGCCAAACGATGGATTCAATCCACCATACTTGAGTTCTGCCAGGAAAGCGAGTATAAACTGAAGACCATTCCACAGAGTATTTCTTTGAACTTGATAATTTCGAATGACTTATCTGAAGTCACCAGAAAAAGGCAGGGGTGGTATGAATCTTCATCATTGGGGAGGTGGCTGTTGGTGGTAGTGACAGGAACATTGGAAATTGCCTTATGCCAACTTGGGTCATTTGCCCATCTCAGAACAGCTGCTCAGTGGCTACTAGCCACAATGGCTATGCTCAGCAGAAGCTTACGGAAAGCTTGGCCTATCGCTCAACTTCCAAAGAACCAAAGTGCTACACCAACAAGTACAAAATAACCCCTCTGCAGTGCCACAAATCCAACTCAGTGGTGTAACATTGGAAAATGTTGGTCACTTCTACTACCTGGGCACAAGGACTAACTCTGATGCCGAAATCCAGCACTGCCTGAGCTCTGCGAGTGCAGCTTTCTCCCGATTGAAGTGCAGAGAGTTTGAGGACTGGGACATTCACAGGGAAACCAAAATGCTTGTTTGCAAAGCTATTGTACTGCCAACCTCACTATATGCTTGTGAAACATGGACCATTTATAAACGTCACCTCCAACTCCTTGAAAGATTCCATCAACGGTGTCTCCGAAAAATTTTACACATCACTTGAGAAGACAGGTGAACTAATACCAGTGTACTGGAAGAAGCACAGATCACCAGTGTGGAAGCAATGATTCTTCAACATCAACTTCATTGGACTGGTCGTGTTGTTTGGTCTTCCAAAGCAACGACTCTATTCCAAACTTAAAAATGGAAAGCGTAATGCAGGTTGTCAACAAAAGAGGTTTAAAGACTGTTTCAAGGCAAATCTTTAAAAATGTAGTATAAACACCAACAATTGGGAAACACTTGCCTGCAAGTGCTCCAATTGGAGAACAGCCTTTACCAAAGGTGTCATGGGCTTTGAAGACACTCGAACTCAGGATGCAAGGGAGAAATGTGCTAAGAGGAAGGCACGCTTGGCAAATCCACACTGTGATCAACTCCCACCAGGAAACCAATGTCCCCACTGTGGAAGGACATGTGGATCCAGAATTGGCCTCCAGAGTCACTTACGGACTCATTGTTAAAACCGTGTTTATGGAAGACAATCTTACTCGGCTACAAGGGATCGCCAAAGAACCAGACCAGTGCACGGAAATGCCGTTTACCTTCCCGCTGGAGCGGTACCTGTTTATCTACTTGAACTTTGTGCTTTCAAACTGCTAGGTGGGCAGGAGCTGGGACTGAACAACGGGAGCTCACCCGGTTTCTGGAATTCAAACCACTGACCTTCTGATCAGCAAGCCCTAGGCTCTGTGGTTTAGACCACAGCACCACCCGCGTCCCTTTACCTTTTTACCTTACTGCAAATAGAGCCACAAGATGAGTCTTCCAACCACTTCTGGGTCAAATGCTGGTGGCCTTAGAGTGTCTTCTCTGGTTGTAGAACAACCACAAATAATATCCTTTCCCTTCTGTTCCCCAGCGAGTAACGTGTCTCACGATATGAAAATATAAACATGAGCTGAAGGCTCAGAAGAGAGTATAGCTCCTAGTCGAACAGCACAAGGAGTTAGCAAGCCCTCGCTTTGTTTTCCTGGATGCAACTCTAACAAGGTCTACTCTGGCTGAATTCACCAGGACTTACTCCAAGGTAAATGAGGTTAAGGCTGCACTCTTATCCATGCCCGTGATTGAGCTTGCAAATCGTGCAAAACGTTTTCTACTATGCCTCCACCCAAAACACAATCATTTTTCTATACTGTAAAAAATAAATCCAGCTTCATCAGGGGAAATCAAGACTCCACTCCTCACGTGCTTGCAAAACAGGCTGCATCTACCAACAGCCTCTAGCAAAGGGGTAGACACTTCAGCTGAGCATCCAATGTGTTATCGTGAAAATCTCAGAACACGCAGTTCGAGATCAAATTAAAAACAGACCCAACCAGAGTAAGTTCTCTCTCTCCGTGGAAAAAAGACGTCTGTCATAGGATCACTGGTTCCGTGCCAGGTCTGTTTATTTTTTCTTAATTTTTTTAATAGCTTTGGTGAGCTGCATGGAAGGCAGAAAGCAAAGTCCCCAACTGCATTATTGGAAAAGCTCTAACACCTTGTCACTGGTCCACCTCCCCACAGCACTGGGGTCTCATCACTCTGAGTAGTAGGGCCGGATTTAGGCTGGATGAGGCCCTAAGCTACTGAAGGTAATGGGGCCCTTGATATGTCCAGCTGTCCTTTGTCAACAACAAATTGTCGCTGGTTTTTTGTGTTGAATATATGCTATAAGGAAATTTATGGACCCAATAGGTATCTAAAGCCATTTGCACATAACAAAATACATATTTTATCAAAGTAATTGTTGAACTGAAATACAATTAAGAAGAAGTATTTTCATAAAAGGTAAAGGGTCCCCTGACCATTAGGTCCAGTCGTGGCCGACTCTGGGGTTGCGGCGCTCATCTCGCTTTATTGGCCGAGGGAGCCGGCGTACAGGTTTCGGGTCATGTGGCCAGCATGACTAAGCCGCTTCTGGCAAACCAGAGCAGCGCACGGAAAAGCCATTTACCTTCCCGCCGGAGTGGTACCTCTTTATCTACTTGCACTTTGATGTGCTTTTGAACTGCTAGGTTGGCAGGAGCTGGGACCGAGCAACGGGAGCTCACCCCGTCACGGGGATTCAAACCACCGACCTTCCGATCAGCAAGTCCTAGCTCTGTGGTTTAACCCACAGCCCCACCCGCGTCCCTTAAGTATATTGTTAGTGAAATACAATTAAGAAGAAGTTTTGGAATGCTTTGGTTTTGGAACAGACTACCGGAATGGATTAAGTTTGAGAACCAAGGCACCGCTGTATATAAAAATGAGCAAACCAGTGATGTTTTAGGGAGCAGGCTAGCAGGCGGGGCCCATGACTTGCATCATAGGAGCCTACACAACACAAAACAATGTTGCTGTATGTACGTTTTATTTTATTTGTTTTTTTATCTTGTATTTTGAAAATGTACTGTACATCCAGGTTTTTCCCCTTTAATTTATTTGGGGCCCCCAAGAGAGTGGGGCCCTAAGCTTGTTTGTTTAGCTTATACATAAATCCGGCACTGGGTATGCCCCGAACAGCAACAAAAAGTGCTAGGAGATGCGTTTATGTACAGTATTTCTGATGCCATGTGTAGTTTGGTCATCAAAAAACATCCCATTGCAGGCCCTGAATATTAGTGCCGGTTGGACATCCCTGATATATACAATGCCAAAACAATACAGTGGTACCTCAGGTTTCAGATGCTTCAGGTTACATACGTTTCAGGTTACAGACTCCGCTAACCCAGAAATATTACCTCGGGTTAAGAACCTTGCTTCAGGATGAGAACAGAAATCGTGCTCTGGCGGCACGGCGGCAGCAGGAGGCCCCATTAGCTAAAGTGGTGCTTTAGGTTATGAACAGTTTCAGGTTAAGAATGGACCTCTGGAACGAATTAAGTTCTTAACCCGAGGTACCACTGTATAAAATATAAAATAAAAGCAATAACCCAACAATAGCCCCCCTCCCAAGAGCCACATTTTTAAAGCGTATGGGATTTTGATCAAGTTAACCATAAGCCTGGTTAAAAAGGAAGGTTTTTGCCTGGTGCCTAAAGGTGTATAATGAAGGTGCCAGGCGAACTTCCTTGGGGAGAGAATGCCACAGATGGGGAGCCACTGCAGAGAAGGCCCTGTTCTCGTGTTGCCACTCTCCAAACCTCTTGAGGAGGTTGATGAGTGCTAGCAAGAAAAATTGTGAGAAGAGAGGGAGAGAGAAAGCTACAATTTTTTTAAAAATTGCACAATTTAGGAATCGCCCCTCTAGTGAGCAACTGAACCTGTCCCTCTGTAATCTCCATTTGGGAAATAAGACCTGTGTGTTTGTGCACTCTACAAGTCAATGTGGGTCTCAGGCTAGGATTCCTGGCAGCCCCATCTTGCAAGAAGCCTTTTCCTTCTGAGCCAACGTGTCTTTCCTCCGGAGTGTTTTCCAAGGTAATTCCATTGGACAGAACAAAAACAAAGGGTGGGGGGAATTATCCCGTGATGTCCTAAGTTTCTTATAATGCAGCAGATGTTTTCATACAGTGCCAGCACTTAATAAATGGCAGCGTATTCACACTGTCAAGGTTGTAAACCTAATAAATTGCATTTAATACGGAAATAAATACAGCGTGGCCACATTTCAAACAGACTCGAAAGTATCCCTGCCTTATATAAAAGAGAAGGGGGCTGGTATGTGGTTACAGTCTGGAGAATGTGTGTGTATGTGTGTGTGTGCAGGCAGACACTTATTTTGTTGTTGTTATTCAGTCGTTTAGTCGTGTCCGCCTCTTCGTGACCCCCTGGACCAGAGCACGCCAGGCACTCCTGTCTTCCACTGCCTCCCACAGTTTGGTCAAACTCATCCTGGTAGCTTCGAGAACACTGTCCAACCATTTCTTCCTCTGCCGCCCCCTTCTCCTTGTGCCCTCCATCTTTCCCAACATCAGGGTCTTTTCCAGGGAGTCTTCTCTTCTCCTGAGGTGGCCAAAGTATTGGAGCATCAGCTTCAGGATCTCTCCTTCCGTGAGCACTCAGGGCTGATTTCCTTCAGAATGGAGAGGTTGGATCTTCTTGCAGTCCATGGGTCTCTCAAGAGTCTCCTCCAGCACCAGAATCCAAAAGCATCAATTCTTTGGCGATCAGCCATCTTTATGGTCCAGCTCTCACTTCCATACATCATTACATTCCAGGGAATGTGTGTGTGTGTGTGTGTGTGTGTGTGTGTGTGGTGTGTAGGCAGCCACTTATAGGATACTGTTTTATGAGTGGATCCTGGTGATGGGAGGTCGAGAAAAGGTTACAGCCAGCTCTTGGGGAGGTGAAGGGCCACAGCTCAGTGGCAGAACATCTGCTTTGCATGCAGAAGGTCCCAAGTTCGAATCCCGGCATCTCCAGGAAGAATGAGAAGAGAACTCTGTCTAAAATCCTCACTAGACATTATACTGAGCTAGTTGGACCACTGAGCTAGCTCCATATAAAGCAGCCTCCTTTGAGCAGTGTCTCCCCCAACTCCACCTGTAAAGGAAATTCAAAGTCATTCTCTCTTTTTAAAAAATTAATATCCAGTTAATATATCCAGTCATAATACTCCAATTAAAATAAAAAAACTAAAATAAAACAAAAACAAATTATAGTCCAAATTATAATTATTAATTTTTCGGAGCTCCCCACGGTCTGGATCTCTGAAGCATATCTCCACATCTCAGTCCTTCCTCTCCTCATTGTTCCCATATTTTCCACATCTCGATTCTGATGCTTTATAATTCTTGTGGAAAGTCATTCTCAAACAGAACATATTTTAGGATTTTTGAAGAATTGCAAGGAAATTGACAAAATTGTGTAGATTTGTGGGTGGAGGTGTGGAACACATCTCTAAGGGCAGAACGAAATGCTAACCTCCCCCCAAAATGACTCACTGTTACCTGCCAAGATTTTAGACAGAGGTAGTTGTCAGCAGTGAGTAACAACAACAACAACAACAACAACAACAACAACATAATATCATTTATACCCTGCCCATCTGGCTGAGTTTCCCCAGCCACTCTGGGAGGTTCCCAACAGAATATTAAAAACACACGAAACATTAAAAACTTTCCTAAACAGGGATGTCTTCTAAAAGTAAGATAGTTGTTTATTTCCTTGACATCTGGTGGGAGGGCATTCCACAGGGCAGGTGCCACCACCGAGAAGGCCCTCTGCCTGGTTCCCTGTAACCTCACTTCAGAAGGCCCTTGGAGCTGGACCTCAGTGTCCGGGCTGAACAATGAGGGTGGAAATGCTCCTTCAGGTAGAAGCCAACTCAGGGTCAAGGGAGACACAGAAATACATCAGCTCCAGACTAGGTCCCACCCCACACAGGAAGCAGCCCAGACTTCCTGTTATAGAGAACCCAATGGCCAGATTTGTTGGGTGTCGTCAGTCTGCGAGGAAGACAACCCAAGATGCAGTTCTGGTGGCTCGCCACAAGGGGCAGCTGCACACAAGAATGGAAGGATCCCAATTCTGGCTCTGACATCTCTTCACATTGTTCTGTTTTGATTGACAGGCGAGGTAATACTGCCCTGCTACCCTGGACAGCTCCATGCAGGTATCAGACCAGTAGACTCCGTGTAGTTTCAGCAGTTGTCTGAATCAGAGGTGCAGGTCTATCTCAGTAACTTGCATAACCTTCCATTAGGGGGCTGCTTCATTTAAAGGGCCCCAGCCTGCTGTATTCCCTTCTGGGCAACATTTTGTAGACCATGCACCAGTGTGGGCAAGGACAGAGGTGACAGTGGGTGGGGGGAATGAATGTAAATCTGAGCTTTGTGCGGTAGGCTAGCTTCTGCACGCAACTCCTCTCTGATGTCCATGCAGACAAGCACAAGAGGCATCAGCAGATTTAAGGACTTATTCCAGACAGGCAAAAATGATTAACATAGGACCAGTGACGCCTGGGAGAGGGTGTGGTCTGGAGAGAGTTACAAGGGCCAGACAGAAAGACCTGGAGGGCCGTATTCACCTTCCTGGCCTGAAGTTCCTCACCCTTTACCTTCTGGACACTCCAGATAAATATTAAAATTGTATTTCTACAAATGACTTCAAACGACCTCAGGGCTAGGGACAATGGCAACCAAAGTCTGTTATTTGGAATCTCATACTGAGCTTCTTTTGCATATAATATTCTGTGGTGGCTCCACGTTTGTGGACTGTTCTCTCCAGAGAGACTCACCTGACACCTTCATCGCATATCTTTAGGCACCAGCCGAAAACATTTCTCTTTCACCTGGCCTAGGGCTGATTAACATTTTATGTCCTTTTAAATGTATTTGTGGGAGGGGGTTATTGGTTTGTTTTTGGTTTGGTTCTAGTTTTTATTACATATTCTGTGTTCTCCTTATGTATTTTTATGTTGTGAGCCACCCTGTGATTTTGGGGTGAAGGGTAGTATACAAATTTAACAACAGCAAGAAGAAGACATCTACATGTTCAGCTGAATCATGTGATAAAGGGCTCCTGGAACTTCTCCGTGTAACACCCCTCCCCAACGCAAAGAAAAATATCTCTGCACATTCAGCTCAGATTACACACGTAAGATAATGAAAGATGGGGCTCCAAAGTCACCTCCTCCAACCTGAAGACCTTCAGGTGTTACAGCATTGCAACTCCCATCACCTTGACCATTGGACATGCTGGCTTGGGGCTGTTGCAAGTTGAGGTGCTATAATAATAATAATAATAATAATAATAATAATAATAATAATAATTTATTATTTATTATTTATACCCCGCCCATCTGGCTGAGTTTCCCCAGCCACTCTGGGCGGCTCCCAATCAAGTGTTAGAAACAGTACAGCGTTACATATTAAAAACTTCCCTGAACAGGGCTGCCTTCAGATGTCTTCTGAATGTCAGGTAGCTGTTCATTGCTTTGACATCTGATGGGAGGGCGTTCCACAGGGCGGGAGCCACTACCGAGAAGGCCCTCTGTCTGGTTCCCTGTAACCTCACTTCTCGCAATGAGGGAACTGCCAGAAGGCCCTCGGCGCTGGACCTCAGTGTCCGGGCTGAATGATGGGGGTGGAGGCACTCCTTCAGGTATACAGGACTGAGGCCATTTAGGGTTTGAAAGGTCAGCACCAACACTTTGAATCGTGCTCGGAAACGTACTGGGAGCCAATGCAGATCTCTCAGAACTGATGTTATGTGGTCCCGGCGGCCACTCCCAGTCACCAGTCTAGCTGCCGCATTCTGGATTAATTGCAGTTTCTGGGTCACCTTCAAAGGTAGCCCCATGTAGAGCGCGTTGCAGTAGTCCAAGCGGGAGATAACTAGAGCATGCACCACTCTGGCGAAACCGTCCACGGGCAGGTAGGGTCTCAGCCTGCGTACCAGATGGAGCTGGTAAACAGCTGCCCTGGACACAGAGTTAACCTGCGCCTCCATGGACAGCTGTGAGTCCAAAATGACTCCCAGGCTGCGCACCTGGTCCTTAAGGGGCACAGTTACCCCATTCAGGACCAGGGAATCCCCCACACCCACCCGCTCCCTGTCCCCCCAAAACAGTACTTCTGCTAAGAACATCTTGAGGGCCTCAGGTTAGGGAAGGCTGATCTACATCGCTCGTGAGTGCGATGGAAACTGGCGACCCCAACATATTGCTAAAGAGAAGGTTGAAATGTATTTTATACATCGTATTACTTGACTATGTGTTTTATTTCACAGACAAGAATGTATGTTTCAGTTCTATTCCAAGCTCACATAAACATTCATATGAACGTTAGGCTATATATGTCTGTCTAATCAGAACTGAATTATATACTTGTTCAACAGACTAAAGTAATAAAATATGGCAGTGGGGAGAACTGGTTCATATGTTAACGGTTGAAAGTCCCTTATTGTTAATAAAAAGAGAATTCTGAAGGCATGCATGCACACACACCAAACACCTCTCGCCATTTGTTTTGCGTCTCATGAAACCCCCCTCTTGAAAACTGCTCTGACCTCTGCTGAATTGGAACCACAGGACTGTCACACTCAGGTCCACCTTAGAATTCATGCACCCATCTATCTGATTGCGCTGCATCATGGGATTTGTAGTGTTCATCAAAAGCACGGCAGATTTTCTTCTGGCAAGATTCTCAGTTGCTGGAACAACAATGCAATGTCCTAATTTCTTCTCTTGAGGGTTGAAGCCACAGATGCCGTGTGCCGAAGTAACTCTATGGATCTCATGATGTCGATGAGTAGTTCTGAGTTCAACTGTGGCAATGGACAACCAAGAATGATATCACAAGGAGCCACTGACGCAAGAGGGCAAAAGACCTCAATGCCTCTCCTAAGGTCCTACTGATGATCTGGAGCCTGGAGGTGAATGGGAATATTAGATCCTCATGGAGCGTTCTCTTTTTGGCCTGGATGGTGTATACCTGAAGGAGCGTCTCCACCCCCATTGTTCAGCCCAGACACTGAGGTCCAGCTCCGAGGGCCTTCTGGCGGTTCCCTCACTGCGAGAAGTGAAGCTACAGGGAACCAGGCAGAAGGCCTTCTCTGTAATGGCTCCCACCCTGTGGAATGCATTCCTGTCAGATGTCAAAGAGATAAATAATTTTGTGACCTTCCATAGACATCGGAAGGCAGTCCTGTATCGGTATGCTTTTAATGTGCAATGTTTTAGTATGTTTTTATGTATGTTGGAAGCCACCCAGAGTGGCTTGGGCAGGGTAAAGTAAAGGTAAAAGGAACCCTGACCATTAGGTCCAGTCGTGGCCAACTCTGGGGTTGCGGCGCTCATCTCGCTTTATTGGCCGAGGGAGCCGGTGTACAGCTTCCGGGTCATGTGGCCAGCATGACTAAGCCGCTTCTGGCGAACCAGAGCAGTGCATAGAAATGCCATTTACCTTCCCGCCGGAGCAGTACCTATTGATCTACTTGAACTTTGACGTGCTTTCGAACTGCTAGGTTGGCAGGAGCAGGGACCGAGCAACAGGAGCTCACCCCATCGCGGGGATTCGAACCACTGACCTTCTGATCAGCAAATCCTAGGCTCTGTGGTTTAATCCACAGCGCCACCTGCGTCCCTAATAATCCAATAATAGCCACATTTTAAAAGGGTATGGGATGTTGATCAGGTTAACTAAAAAAGGTAAAAGGTAAAGGTACCCCTGCCTGTACGGGCCAGTCGTGTCCGACTCTAGGGTTGTGCACCCATCTCACTTAAGAGGCCGGGAGCCAGCGCTGTCCGCAGACACTTCCAGGTCATGTGGCCAGCGTGACGAAGCTGTTCTGGCGAGCCAGCACCAGCGCAGCACACGGAAACGCCGTTTATCTTCCCGCTATAAAGCGGTACCTATTTATCTACTTGCACTTAGGGGGGCTTTGGAACTGCTAGGTGGACAGGAGCTGGGACCGAAAG